AACACGGAAAATGTACCATAGAAAATATACTGTAGGATTCAGAAATCGTCCAAAACTGCAGTGCAGAATGTAAGCTTTTGAGAAGGAAAGATAGGATATTCCAAAAGGAGGAGTGTGAATTTCTGGAGAATTTCCAGGTAGTTGTGCTGTCAGAGCCTTGATTTTCAGAACTCACATGAGTTCTACAGTAATTTAAAGTTCTGGCCTCTTCTCCTAGTCCAAATGCTTTAATTTTCTCCTACTGGTTATATTTGATTTGGTTGTTCAAAAACAGCAACAATTTTTCTAACCTGAATTAGGTTGTTAATGTGCAGTTATGCTTCAAATTCCTTTCATTTACGCATTTATAATATTAATATTGTCTCTGAACAAAAGAACTGAATGTTTAACCATAAAAGGCTAAAATGTATGTTGGAAAGTCTGACCCTTAAGTTTTGGAGGATGACAAGGAAAAATGAACTGTACAAATCAAAGCAATTAAACATAATTACAACTGGTAAGGAAAACCCATTTAAAAATCTGTATACTGAAATACACCCAAGGATTCAAAAAACATATTAACAGTGGATGAAGTTTATCAGGGTGGCACGCTGGTTAGCATTGCTGCCTCGCAGTGCTGGGACCCGGGTTTGTATGCTCTCCATGTGATCCTGTGGGTTTCCTCCGGGTGCCCCGGTTTCCTCCCACAGTCCAAAGACATACTGGTGGGTTAATTGGCTTCGGGGAAAATCGGCCCTGGTGTGTGTGTCTGTGAGCCCTGCGATGGACTGGTGTCCCATCCTGGACGTATCCTGTCTTCTGCCCAATTTTCATGATAGACTCTGGCTGCCGCGTGACCTTATTGGATAAAGTGCTTAGAAAACGAATGGATGAGGTTTATCAAATGGGTATCGGTTGGGATGTAAATCAGTCTTTAACAACGGAGATGGAAAGTATGTGCAAAGATGCAGGCAGAATGGCTCCCTGTGGTGTCTGTTCTGTAAGGAGCTGTCAGGCAGGTGGCTTTGACATTCGTGTCTGCCCATCTCCTCCCATGAGTGCGGAGCTGGATGAAGAGATAGTGACATGGGCACATGACTTCCACCCCCCAATTTACATACAATTTACAAACATCCCACTTTTCAGTCTAGGTGGATCTCTGCAGTTGTTGGGATGATCATGAGGAAACACTGCATTTGTGTTATTCAAACTGCTTGTGCCACACATGTCAGAATTGCATATAAGGTCCATTGACAACAGCGGGACTGAAGCTGGCAGTATCCTCTCCTCCCACCATGATACACTATAGTCTTGTGACCAGTGTGTTTCCCTTGCACAGACCTCAGTGAACTCTCCTGCGGTTTATGCACTTTGAGAAGTGAGGCACAGAAGCAGGAATCGTCAGAAAATGTGACCCTCCACCACTCTGCATCCTACCGTTGTCCTGGGAGCGGTTTTCAAGCACAAATCTTGTTGATCTACACCAATGCATCAGTGCAGGATGAAGAGTGTCATTGGGTTTCTGGGTCTACCATGACACCTGTAGCTGGTGCTGAGTGGTACTGATCTGCGGTTCTGACAGCCCCTCTTCGGGTTAAAACACCACGGCTACACGGAAAATGGGATCACAGGTAGTGCTGCAGCAGTATATTGACAGGAGATGGATGGATCCTGAACTCGTTGGCGACTTTGCATCACAATGTTTCTACCAGCAACTTCCCCAAAGGTGCTCCCTCTCTTTCACACACTGGAGGACGTGTGTGCCCCATATACTGTAAACCAATGCGTCACCTTTAACATGAAGATCACAAGCGTGCACTGCTTGCCACACATGGGCGGTCTGCTTTGTCTCACGGCCAGATAAAAACAGAGGGATACAATCTCTTCCGTGTTCTGCAAAAGGGGCTCTTGTGATGCCATATTCATATGAGCTAACATGTTAGCATGACATAATGTAGTTTGAGAGAGTGTGTGTCGTGTTTGCAAAGTTTTATAAATATACATATTGTAGACATACTGTGTACAGAAAAAAAACATGACATTCACATAATGGAGAAGATAAATATCCCCTTTCTCCACCACCACCAGTAAGAAAATACAACTTATCTGTTGTAGCACAAAATGCAGGTGGAAAAACAGGCACAGTTTCTTAACCTAATTGTTTTAGATTTTCTTTTATGTAAACATAAATTAATTGAAATAGTGCAATGAGAAATAATCTTAAATGTACATCAAAATGTAAAATCATTGGTTTAACATTTTTAGGATTTAGTAATCTATGAGAAAAAGCCTAGACAGAGCACAGAAGGTATCTACTGTATAATGCTCTTTGGTGTTTCTGATATCAGAGATTTTTCTAGTAGAGAATGGAAAAGCTTTACACCTCAGCGCCCTCAAGCACAGCCCAGTGTACAACAACAGGGAAAAAGCTGCTCATTATCACATAAGAAAATAGCATTTGGTATTGGTGCAAATAGTTTGATTGGTTCATTCCGAGTGGCTGAAAATTCTTTTAAAAAATAAAAATGTTTCAATGGTTAACAGACATGCCTCCTAGTCCACTATTTCAATACCGGCCAAATAGCAGTTCCAGGTATTTTTGCTTAGCTGCGTAAAAGCAGTTCGCAGACAAATGTTTGAATCACCTATTCAACTGTAATTCAGAGATGCAATAATGCAAAACCAACGATATCAGGACTGAAAAAATACTTGAAATGTTCAGAAGCAGTTTGTGCTGTTGAGGAATTTTGATGTGAGAACTGAAAGGACAAGGACATGCTGCACAGTGGTCCTTCAGGCTCCTCCGAGGTGCCTTTATTCATCCCGGGTCACTCAGATGTTAGCCTCTACGAAGAGTCTTTATTATCCCCAAGGGGCAGTTTGTTTTACAGCAGCAGACAATGTAAAGAAAACACACAAACACAGAAAATGGGTATAAATGAGAACTTAAAAATGGGGAAATCTGTATCTGCATTCTGGGGGGAGTATCTGAAATTCCTTAAAAAAGGCTGTGAAGAGTCATCTAGAATGTGCTTTACACAGCTGATAGACTCATAACTGAAAGACGTGGGATAGGGGTGAAAGATCAGCGTCAATGACTTTCTGAGGTGCTAAAATGTGCTATTTGAATCTAAAACAGACCCCTATACAGGCAGAAAACTTTTGAAATGTACATCGGCATGTCAGAGAGTTTAAACAGACAAGACCAGAATATAGTTAAATAGGTACTGTATAGCACCTAAACTCTGAAGAATGGCAATACACCCAGACTCCATAATCATATTTATACAGTATATGGCTCTGGGTTTCTGGAACACAAAAAGAAATTAACAGTCAAATTCTTCAAGTTTCAAGTGAAACTTAATTTTGCATTTGCATCGTTTTTTTTTCCTCACAATTTATCCTGGCATGTTTTAACTTTTTTCTATACATTTCTGAGCAGACAGCAAAACAAACAAGAGTATTTAGCAAATACAAAAAAAAAGATATATGGGACAAATTCTGGACACAATAGGATGCATCTAACCACTCTGTCAAAGATGACTAGCAAAAGATAGTGTAGGCAAACATCTTTCCATTAGAACAATTTATTTAAAAATACAACCGGGTGTGATAGGATTTGAGGGTATGTCAGTTTTCACCTGACCTTCTAAGAGTTTTTTGCCTTCACATACACCCATGAATACATCGCCATGCCTGAAGGTACTATAGGTAAAAACCTGAGAACTGTCGCCTGAAAAGAAATTTGGGGACCCAGGGTCACTGTCTCATCGATTCTCGTTTGAAAGCACAGGAGCCACAGGACACTAAAGAAACCCCCGTCTGAGCCAAAGCCTCTCACACCCCGAGTTCCCATTATTATTAGTGGTGGTGTGCTGTACACACTCCTTGCTCTGTTATTAAAGAAAAAGTACTGTCCCAGACTGCATCTCAACTATCCAGCTTTTCTAGTCCTTAAGCCCATGTAAAGGTGATCTGGAGCTGGTTTGATACTGTAACAGCAATCTCCACATCTAAATGATTTATTCACGTATATATGGTGTGAATATAATGTGACTGTCTGCAGGGTGGAGGCTGATATTTATGGAGCACGGTTATTTTTTTATTTTTGCTGGATTGTTTTTCTAGCATTTTATGAAAAAATCTTCAGACCGGGTGGAGCTACAGTATATCCTATAATTTATTGTCAAAGCCAGATTAGAGAGAAAT